CCACACAAACGCATCGTATATATCGAACAAATTCAGCAAAAGGAAGCACACAATAAAGAAAAAGATAGAATAAGAAAAAAATAAAATAAAACAAAAAAATTGAAAAAAATGTTAAAAAGCAAAATTCATTTCTTATCAACCGCACTGAATAAGCTGAAGCTAAGTCATTCGCGAACTTGTATACTTGCCATGTTGAAAACCCGCTGACTCATGCTTTGCTAATAGACGATTCTTTAAGAGAGCATATTGATAAGGCGTCATCTAAAGTTTCACTGAGTGCGTTGATATCGTAAGGAAAAAAAAATACGGAGACAAAAAAAAAAAAAGAAAAACAGAATTGAGTATCCCGCTTATATTCGAGTTCCGAAGCAAATCCTACGTCAACACAATCTAAAAAAGACATCCCTTATCCTTTCCAAAACATATCCTCGCTGTGATGCCAGGAGATAAGCGTGATTATATCCTTTATCCTCGCGTTCCCTTGAACCAACATCAACGAACTCGCTGACACTCGCGCCTATGTTGTACCTTTTCTGCGGAACAGCCACGGGGTCTTTGGAGCCGATTGGCCGCTTCAAGGCGCCTGCCGCTTCAATGGCTGGTGTTATCGGCGATGTCCGTCATTTGAAGGACGTTTTGCTTGGATAAACATCGAAATTGGGAATGAATAAATAAACAAGGAGTTCATTTATTCGATATATATTTATAAATATATATATATATATATATATATATATATATATATATATATATATATATATATATATATAACATATATTATATATATATATATATACACATATATATATATATATATATATATATATATATATATATATATATATATATATATATAAATATAAATATATATATACATATATGTAATATATATATATATATATACATATATATGTATATATATATATATATATATATATATATATATATATATATATATAAATGTATATATATACATATATACATTTAGACATATATATACATAAATGTATCTATCTATCTATCTATCTATCTATCTATCTATCTATCTATCTATCTATATATATATATATATACACATACATGTATACACACACACACAAAATATATATATATATATATATATATATATATATATATATATATATATATATATATATATATATATATATATATATATATATATATATATATATATATATATACACACACACACACACACACACATATGTACTATGTATATATGTATGAATTGTATATATATAGATAATATATATGTATTAATTGTATATATAGATAATATACGTGTATATATGTATATATACATACATACACATACACATAAAGTATGTGTGTGCATGGGTATTTTATATATATATTTTATTGTTATATATTATATCATATATTACATATGAATAAATAAATATATATTTAAATATATATATATATATTCAAATATATATCTAAATATATATATATATATATATATATATATATATATATATATATATATATATATATATATATATACATACATATACACACACACACTCACACGTACACACTTCTTTATTTATCTATACAGATATATTGTCTGTGGATGTATGAATATAAAAACACCACCATACCCTCATGCACGGTCTTTGCCTAAATCCAGACACAGCCATCCACACAACGACGCTAGCTGGAAATTGAAAAAAAAACGCATCTCGAAGGAACAATCAATAGCTTAAAAAAACGACGGCCGCAGAACATGTTAGCGTCGTTGAAAAAAAAAAAAAAATCCTTGGTTGGAGAAACCGTACGTACGACCGTGTGACGAGCTCCTGCCTGGTCGGTTCCGTAGCGTCGGGAATGCGCGCGCGTGACAGGGGGAAGGCAGAATATCCCGACGTAGAAGAGGCAGAGTTTCTTCCCCTGTCAATCAAGAGGAAACCAAGCCTGCCTTCGAACCACGCCCCCCAACCCCCCACCCCCCTTTCCCCCTGCCTCTCTCCTCTTGGACAGACTACTTAGTACCAAGAAGTTATTATGGGTGCTGTGTGTGTTTTCATTACCTGTCCTACATCTACATAAACTTAAGAAATGCGCTTTGTAAAGCTTGGAAATAAAGGAAGAAAATTAGTCTTTTATTTCTGTGGTTGTATCCTCTAATACCTAAAATCAAGATGGCATTTATTTAAGGGATACCAATACTGCATCGGTGACTAGAACGATAAATCTGCAATAATTCTATAATTTCCCGCAATGAATCTGAATTATGAAAACACTAATCACAGTGATATGAAATTCCCAGTAATGACCTAAACGATGAAAACAACAATCATAATCTTATCCCTACGCTACTACTACAACAACGCCAAAATACAACAGTAACATCAACTACAACACCATATTTACGACAACGAGACTTTTTCGTCAGATACTTGTTGTCTTTATTGCACTTTATATTATGAAGACAGGTTCACTCTATACATTTCTTTTCTTTAATATTACTGATATAGGTCACAGTACAAAGAAGAAACATTAAGAGTGGAAAATATTGTAGTTTTGCTAAAAATTGAAAAAAAATATATACGAAATATAGAGGAATGCTAATGATCATAATAATGATAATGGTTATTACCATTGTAATAATAACAACGATAATAGTGATAACTATAATGCTAATAATGATGACAGTAATAATGATAATGATGATAGTAAGACTGTTAATGATGATAATGATGATAACAACAATGACAATAATAATAATACTCTACCACTGCTACGACTACTAATGACAACAGCAATATTAGTAAAAGTAATAATAATAGTGACAATAATAATAATGATGATGATGATAATGATAATAATAATAATAGTTATGATAATGTTAATAATAATAATAATGATAACAATGATAACACTAATGATAATTACAATAATAATAATGATGATAATATTAATAATAATGATAAAATAATAATAAGAGAATGATAATGATAATGCTGAAGATGATTATGATGATAATAATGGTAATAATGATAATAATAATAATAGCAACAATAGTAACTGTGATAATAATAATCATTCATATTATTATTGCTAGTATCATTACTATAATCATTATCCTCCTCCTTTGTATAATCTCTCTTAATGCTGACCTTGATCCCCATCATTATGATCATTATCAATATTATTATCATAATATTTGTTATCATAATCATCATCATTGTCGACGTATTTCACTCATCTACCTCTCAAATAACTGCTTCTTCTATCACGGTTAGTTTACCAACTTCCTTCCCTTTTCTCTTCTTAATATCACTATCCCTCCTTTTCCTCCTAAATCATAAAAAAATCACGAATATTACCAACCCCTGCTTTCGTACATCCTTCCAGACCGCTAAGTTGCACAGTGCAATGGGGTCGTTGCACCGAACGATCAGCGCATCACTGCATATGTCATCACATCAGTTCATCACTCTATCTATCTCTCTTACTCAGCGGGAAGGCGGAGAGGTCGTTGCGTTGTCGTGGTTGTGAATAAAAGTCGTTTGGTTAACTTGGCACGCTTCTTCGCCACTATAATGGGGTGTGTATTGTAGTCTCGAAGTGTTAATTATACCTAGTGGTCTTTGGGGCTGTTCGTTCTCGTTGGGTCTTCTTTAACAATGTTTTTTTTGCTCGTTGGGTCTTTCGTCTTTTGGGGTTGGTGCTCGTTTTTTTTTCTTTTGCAAACCTTATGTCATGTTTTGTAAACGATATATATATTTTTTTATGTTCTTCCTGTTTTAGATATTATTTTAAAAAGATGTTCTACTTTGTCTCTATTTATTCTTCGTTTTAACTTACTCTGTCTTTCTTCTTTAAAATGTTCTCGTCGCGTTTTCTCTCATTCTTTTTTTTAATCTTTTTATCGTTTCACATTATTCACATTTCTCTTCTTTCCTTCATCCTTTTATTTTTTAATTTCTTTCTTCTTTCTCTCTATTTCCCTCGTTTCTTCTGAACGTTTTCCTCATTCCGTCTCGAATCCCTTTTTCCTTCTTCTCTAAGTACTGTCATTCGCTTTCCATTTTTCTTTAAATGGCTTTCCCATCTCCCCCCCCCCTCTCTCTCTCTCTCTCTCTCACTCTCTTAAACATTTTCTTATTCTCCTTTCTTCTCTTCCTTCTTCCTTCCCAGCTTTCGAATTCAGTGTTGTTGTCACTTATAAACGGAAGATAAAGGACGGAAGAAAATGAAAAAAACAACAACAAAGAAGGAGGGAAATGAAGAAGAGAAAGTGAAAATTGAAGAGAAAAATGTTAAAAATGAAGAATGGAAAGTGAAAAAAATAAAGATGAACAATGGAAAGCAGGAATGAAGAAAGAAATTTGAAATTGAAAATCAACAAAGGAAATAATAATAACAAAAATAGAATAGACAAAATGGATAATGGGGACAAGCAAAGAAAGGTGAAAGAAAAAAAATAAGAAGAAAACAAGATTGAACAACAAGAAAAAAAAAAAGGAAAGTGAAGACGATAAACGAAAAATGAAGAAAAAAAAGACGACAATGTACAGACGAAGAATTTAAAGCCAAACATATATAATAGTAATAATAAAGATAATAATAAGAAAAAAAGAAGAAGAAAAAAGGAAATGAACAAAAGACTGAACAGCACGCGTTGGATGAAGCCGCCTGTTTGTTCCTTGAGTGTTCTAAGAATCACTTTCATGATGACGCGTTGTTGCTGATGACGGGTTGCAGCGGCCATTGCGTGGAGACAGGCGTGGACGTGTTAATGTATAGTTTACTTGGCTGATTGTGTGTGTGTGCTGGGGGGGAGGGGGTCCTCTTCCTCTCCCTCCCTGTCCCTCCCTCCCCCTCCTCCATCCCTCCCCCCTCCCTCCTTCTCCTTCTCCTTCTCCCTCCCTTTCCCTCTCCCTCCCCTCCTCCCTCCCACATCCCTTCTTCTCCTTCCCTCCCTCCCCCACTCCCCTCCCTCCTTCTCCTTCCCTGCCTCCCTCTCTCACCTGCACTCTTGCTTCGCTCAAGTTGGTCCTCTTAGCGAGTTCCTCTCTAACGAAGGCGTCGGGGTAATGTGTCCTCTCAAAGACCTTCTCCAGCGCCGTCAGCTGTACCGAGGTAAAGGTGGTGCGGTTCCTCCTGGGTTTCTTCTTGCGGCCTTCTGCGTCCTCTTCTGCAGGAGGAGAGAGAGAGAGAGGGAGGTGGTCAGTAACGGGTGGTTATGGGAGTGGATGTGTGTGTGTGTGTTTGTGTGTGGATGTGTGTGTGTGTGTTTGTGTGTGGATGTGTGTGTGTTTGTTTGTGTGTACGTGTGTATGTTTGTGTGTGTGTGTGTGTGTGTGTATTTGTTTGTGTGTGTGTGTGTGTGTGTGTTTATGTGTGTGTGTTTGTGTGTGTGTGTGTATGTGTGTGTTTCTGTGTATGTGTGTGTGTGCGTGTGTGTGTGCATGTGCGTGAGGTGGATGAGGGTGAGAATAAAGAGAAAGAGGAAATGAGAAAAGAAAAACGAGGCAGAGCGAGACGAAGAAGAGGAGAAAGAGGAGGAGCAGGAGCAGGAGGAGGAGGGGAGGGGGAGGCTGAAGAAAGGGGAAAAAGAAAGGAGGAAGAGATAAAGGGAGATCAAAGAGTCAATCGAATCCAAATGACGAAAGGCGAATGACTCTACGAAACAAAGGCATACAAAAAATAAGAAAATATGAAAAAAATCGGACAAAGAAAGGACCATACCATGTACCACACATACGAAAAAGGCAGACACACACACACACACACACAGACACACACACACACACACACACACACACAGCACATACAAAAAAACACACCAAAAAATAATAAGCAACAAAGAGAGAGAAAGAAGAGAGAGAGAGAGAGAGAGAGAGAGAGAGAGAGAGAGAGAGAGAGAGAGAGAGAGAGAGAGAGAGAGAGAGAGAGAGAGAAAGAGAGAGAGAAAGAAAGAGAGAAAAAAAAGAAAGAGTGAGAAAGAAAGAAAGAGAGAGAAAAAAAGAAAGAGAGAGAAAGAAAGAAAAAGAGAGAAAGCAAGAACGAGAGAGAAAGAAAGAAAAAGAGAAAGAAAAAAGATAGAAAGAAAAAAGAAAGAAAGAGAGACAGAGGAAAAAAAAAAAACACGACGGCACACGAAGAAACACGCGTCAGCCTTCAAGATTCCCCCCCCCCCCTCCTCACCCCACCCTTGCAATCTCTGTTGAATCCACCGTTGTGGGAAAAATCCTCGCGTTTCGTGGCTTTTTTTTTGCAGCGATTCCTCAAAGGGGGGAGGGGGAAGGGGATAGGGGGGGAGGATATGCAGATTAAGCCGGATTACACGTCTCTCTTCCCCTCGTGGCGGATTAATTTAATGGGCGGAGGTGAAACAGAGACTCGGTGGTGGGTTTGGGATGGGGATGGGTATGGGTATGGGTATGGGTATGGGAGGGGGAGGTGGAGGGGGAGGTGGAGGACGAAAAAGATGAAAAAGAAGAAGAAGAAGAAGAAGTAGACTAGGGGGAGGAGGAGGAGGAGTAGAAGAAGAAGAAGAAGAAGAAGACTAGGAGGAGAGGGAGGAGGAGTAGAAGAAGAAGAAGAAGAAGAAGAAGAAGAAGAAGAAGAAGAAGAAGAAGAAGACTAGGAGGAGGGGGAGGGCGACGACGAAAAAGAAGAAGAAAAAGAAGAGGAGGGATAAGAAGAAGGAAGATCTAAAATGGTGGGAGAATAGATAAGGGAGAAGAGGAGGAAGAGGAAAAACAAGAAGAAAGACAAAGGAGGTGATGAAGAATATGTAAGAATAGGAGAAAAAGAGCAAAAAGAAGAGGAGGAAGGAAAGGTGTAGAGGAAGAAAGAGAAGGACAAGAAAAAAGAAAGAAGATGGGGAGAAGAAGAAAAAACATAAATAACGAAAAGGGAGAAGAAAATGAAACAGAAGGAGGAAAGAAGAACAAAAAGGCGAAAAAATAAGAAAGGAGAAAACGGAGAGGTATAATACAAAAACGAAGAAAAAAAGTGAAAGACAAACACGAAAAAGAGGGAAAAAAACGAGGACGAGAAGGAAAAGGAAAGAAAAGGGAGAAGTAAAAAAAAAGAAAGAAAGAAAAAAAGACAAAACCGTGACAGCCAGAGAATCAAGATTTAAACTCAATTGCAATGACAAAGAATTTCTTTTTTTCAACTTTTTTTCATTTCATTCCTCCCCTTTCCATATATTTTTTTTCATTTTCCTTTTTTTTCTCTTTAAATCTCACCCTCATCTTCCCTCAAGCGTCTAAGAAGTCGCAGCTAAGAGGGTGGAGGTCTTAGAACACCTGACGTCCTCTTTGCGAATTGTTCATGGTATGGAGGACTTAACACGGCGTCTCAGGGTTGGATTCTGTGGTTTCGATCCTCTTCTCTCTCTTTCTCTCTCTGTCACTTTCTCTCTCTTTCTTTCTCTGTCACTTTCTTTCTCTCTCTCTCTTTCTTTCACTCTCTCTCTCTCTCTCTCTCTCTCTCTCTCTCTCTCTCTCTCTCTCTGTCACTCTCTTTCTCTCTCTCTCTCTCTCTCTTTGTATCTGTTTGTCTTTCTCTTTCTCTCTCTATATATATCTATCTCTTTCCCTATCTGTCTGTTTATCTCTGTCTGCCTTTATCGCTCTCTCTCTCTCTCTCTCATTGTAATTGTCTTTCTCTTTCTCTCTCTATATATATTTATCTCTTTCTACATCTATCTGTCTATCTTTATCTCAGTTTCTCTCTCTCTCTCTCTTTATATTTGTCTTTCTCTTTCTCTCTATATATATCTATCGTTTTCTCTATTTATCTGTCTATCTCTGTCTATCTTTAGCTCATTCTCTCTCTCTCTCTCTCTCTCTCTCTCTCTCTCTCTCTCTCTCTCTCTCTCTCTCTCTCTCTCTCCCTCTCTCTCTCTCTCTTTCTCTCTGTATATCTGTTTATATGTCTTGTTATTTGGTTTATGAGTTTACAGATTTATTAATTTGTTGATTAAACTAAATATACATCTGAACTCTATCAGTACTTTTAATTTATGTTAATGAATCTATCTATCTATGGATTTATATATCTAGTCATCTATCTATCGACGTTTATCAACTCTTCATTTATTCACCCACTTTTGAATTTATCTACACATTCATTTATTCCCCTTGTTATTCACCTTCTCGTCTCTATATCCTTTTATCCATCTCCCTCTTCTCCTATTCACAATCACTAAGGAATGGAAAGGGTTAATGAACTCTCTTCTTTCCTCTCCCCTTTTTAAATACTTATTTGATATAATTGGAACACCTTTTTTTAAAACTTTCTTCGGCACGTGCAAAGACTTAAAACCCTAATAACAGCACACAAGGGAACAAGATGGCGACGATCAGATGGCAAATAAAAAAAAACGAGATTCGATATTTTTACGAGATAATATACTGTTAATCGGGGCCTTTTTAGGGAAAGGCGATCGTTGAGGTCAATTTATTATTATTTTTTTTTTTTTTTTTTTTTTTTTTTAATATGGGATGGTTTTAACTATTAAGATGTATTTGGGTTTAGAAACGAAAAAGGAAGAGCAGGTTTGGTTAAAGAAAAAAAAAATCACTTATGGAGGAGGATTAGGACGAAAATAATGGCAATGATGATAAAAAACAGTAAATCATAATAAAAAAACAAGTACTCAAACACCTTTCTCTCCCGCCTAAAAAAAAAAGAGAAAAAAAAAATCCTACGAGTTATGCAAAGACGCTCGGCTGATAATCGAATTTCGTGGGTTTTTGAATTTCGCGGGTTTCTTTTTTTAACGTCTAAGAAAGAAAGTGGTGGGAAAACATGGACGCAGACACCCCCCCAACCCCCCTCCCCCCTCCCCCCCACCTTAGCACGTGCCGGTCCTTTAAGCTTATTCTTGAAACTGTGTGTAACTCGAGCCAGCTTAGGCGGAGCTATAGAGGGTAGGGGGGGGGGAGAGAGAAGGGAGAAGGGAGAGATAAAGGGGGATAAAAGAGGAAGAACGGAAAGGGGGAGAGAGAAGGAAGGGGGATAAAAGAGGAAGAACGGAAAGGGGGAATGAGAAGGAAGGAGAATGAAAGAGGAAGAACGGAAAGGGGGAAAGAGAAGGAAGGGGAATAAAAGAAGAAGAACGGAAAGGGGGAAAGAGTGGGAAGGGAAATAAAGGAGGAAGAGGGGAAAGGAGGTGTAATTGGGAAGAGAGGGAAAGGGTGATAAAAGGGAAGAGGGAAAGGAGGGAAAGATGGATAAAGGATGATAATGATAACAACAATAATAATGATAAGGATAATTACAATATCATAATGATAATGATAATAACAATGATCGCAATAATAATGATGATAATGATAATAATAATAATAATAATAATGATAATAATGATGATAGTAATAATAATAATAATAATAATAATAATAATAATAATGATAACAACGATAATGATAATAATGAGGATTATGATAATTATAATGATAATAACAATTATTATTATTATAGTAATAACAATAATAATGTTAATAATAATGATGATGATGATAATTACAATATCATAATGATAATGATAATAACAATGATCGCAATAATAATGATAATATTAACAATAATAATGATAATAATAATAATAATAATAATAATAATAATAATAATAATAATAATGATAATAATAATAACAATAATAACAATAACAATAATAACAATAATAATAATAATGATAATAACAATCATAATAATAATAATAATAAAATTAATAATAACAATAATAATAATAATAATAATGATAATAATATTAATAATGGTAACAACAATAATGATAATAATAAAAGTGATGATGATGATGATAGTAATAATAATAATAATGATAATAATAATAATAATAATAATAATATTAGTAATGATAATAATAATAATAATAATAATAATAATAATAATAATAATAATAATAATAATAATAATAACAGAAATGATAAAAAATAATAAGATAAAAGTAGCAATGATAATGATAATAAGATAATAGTATTAATGATAATAATAATGATAGTAACAATAATAATAATAATAGCAATAATTATGGTGATGATAATTTGGATGATAAGAATGATGACAATAATAATAATAATAATAATAATAATAATAACAATAATAATAATGTTAACAATAACAATAATAATGATGATAATAATAATGATAATA